TGACATTGCTAGATTTTCCAAATTCTGAAGTTGCCCTATGGTGCTTTGAATATCACCTGAAAACTGATTACCTGACAAATTTAACTCTCTCATGCTCGCAATGGTTCCAATTTCTGAAGCCAGTGACCCATTCAGCAAATTATAAGCTAAACTCAAAATCTGAATTTCCTTGTTAGTCCAAAGTGTGGATGGGATAGTGGAAGTCAATGAGTTGTAATCTAAATAAATTTCTTGTAAAGCGGTAAGATTTCCTAAACAAGTTGGTAGATGTTGAGAAAGCCTATTATTCCTCAAACCTAGATAATATAGATTTGTCAATTTGCAAAGGTTGAAAGGTACCGACTCCCCTAGTTTATTGAAATCAAGTCTCAGCTTTTGCAATTTTCTTAATTGACCCAATGCTTCAGGGATTGTTCCTGTCAATTCATTGCCTCTAAGGTCTAACTCCATCAAGCTGCTAATATTACCAATTTCATTAGGAATGATACCTTTAATACCACAATAATCGGCAGTGAAAGATTCTACAGATGTTGACAAATTACCCAAGGATTTCGGTAATATTCCGTTGAAAGAATTGAATCCCATCCATATGATCTTCAAATTCCTACAATTTTTCAATGAAATAAGAAAATCCAATTCCGGCATTGAAGGATCATTTGTCAACTCATTATTATCAAATCGTAGCTTCTGTAGGTTCTGTAAATTCCCAAGATTCATGGGTACTTGTCCACTGAATGAGTTGTAACTAAGATCCAAGCTAGTAAGCTTAGAAAAATTTGAAACAGAGGTAGGAATTTCTCCACTCAATCGATTGCCTTCAAGATAGAGAAGTTCGAGATCAGGGAGCCCATTGGCAATTGACGATGGGAGATTGCCCGATATACTATTGGTATTAAGATCAAGCATTTGTAGCATGGAGAGATTGAAGATGGATTCAGGTATTTGACCATGAAGACTATTATTGGACATATCCAAAATCTTCAAATTTGATAAACTGCCAATTGAATGCGGAATTTCACCTGCATTCTGGTGTTTGTCAACACAATCAAATTAATGAATACCAAAAGTTAACATGTAGTAGATAGATACCTGTTAAGATATTTGCATCCATATAAAAATATTGAAGTGCCGATGAGTTTCCAACTTCATATGGAATGCTTCCTGTAAATACATTTTATGGTATTAAAAATTAAAATCCAAAATTTGAATGTTTAAAATTTCAAAAAATTATTATTAAATGATATTGAAATTGTAAAGTGCTTAATTTAATTAAATACAAAAATATTAAAATCAAATATGATGGCTCTAATATATATTATTAAAATAAAAAATATTTTTGAATGGCAATGTATAATTTAATTTAGAATGCTAAATTACTTAGCAAACAAGGTGATACAGGATAAAAGGAACAATATACGAAAACAACGAATAAACAAAAAACAACAATAATTCTATGCATGTGAATTTAGAAGATCAATAATTCGTTGATTCGCAATCACATACTGAATAATTGATCGAAGTCAACAAATCGTTCCTTCCACACAACATTTGAGGTCAAAAATTTTGTAAAAGAAAAACTCTAACAACTTTTATAATGCTTTAATCAAAATACTCCACAGTACAAATGTTATCTTTGCTGCTAACAAAGATACGCCTATTCATTAAGATTAACTAAAATTGCATCCTAGGAATGGTGAAAAGATTTTAAAATATTGACAAAAAAATTATAATTAGGGTAGCCTCTAGCGGTGTCCATCTTCATCCCAAGTGGATTGGGTATGTAGGATATGATGTTATTACGATGTATTTCTAATAATTAGCTGAAAACACCATACATGCTGTAAAACATTTGTCAAAAGAGTGTAAAATAACCTAAAGTTCATTTCAATTTTCCATCAACAATAAAAATCTTTGTTAAATGAGACCATTTAAATTTAGAGTTTTTGTATCAACATTAGTTAAGACACATATAAGAATTGAAATAGATTTAATGTATAAAAAAAGTTCAGGAGATCTTGTTACGTACCACTGAAACGGTTGAGCGCTAAATCTAAATATACAAGTACTGAATGGTTTCCAATTCCATTTGGAATAGTTCCTGACAACCATTTAAGCATATAGGTTTCAATATATCAAATTTAAATTTATATGAAATAAATCTAATGAAAGAAAAGAAGTACCAACTAATAGGAAGTCGATAATTAAGTACTTGTGAAGTCATTGTTATCAAAACTAATACTTGAAGTGCTGATAAGATTCCAATTTCATTTGGAAGTTGATAATTAAGTACTTCTTGATTCATTATCAAATAAGTTAATAGTTAGAAGTACATGGCAATGCAATAGATTTGGAATTATCTCTCCACGAGCCGTCTTAGTTCAGACAATAGATTTGGTAGTATCTCTCCAAGAAACATCTTAGTTTGGTTGCATGGATCTTTAGCAAACTTTCATAAAAATTCGTTATCCCAATGGATATTGACAGTAGAGAAGAGATTTTGAAGATGGTTGAAGGAGTCTCTTCAAAAAATTCCTTCAAATAAAATAAAATAAACACATAGTAATCCCCCTTAATAATTACTATGTTGAAATTTAACCCCAAATAAAAGAGCGAGCAAAACCAGCAATTGAATTGGATGGAGCCAAACATGCCCTTTCAACACATTTTACGAGTCAAATATTTTAAATTTCAAAAAGTTATTATCAAATAATAATACTGAAATTATAAAGAGTTAAATTTAATTGAAAAAATCAAATTAAAGTATGGGTGGTTGTAATATATATTATTAAAATAAAAATGATTTTATAATGACAAATGTACAAATTAATTTAAAATATTAAATTATTTTGTAAACAGGGTGATGCAGAGCAAAAGGAACAATATAATAGAATAAAGAATAAACTTAAAACCACACTAATTCTTCAAATGCGTGCGAATTTCGAAAATCAATAATTCTTTGATTCGCAATAGAATACTGAATTAATCTTATTTGACAAAGCGTTAACTCCACACAAAACATTTGCGGTAAAAAAAAAAAACTCTCACAACTTTTATATTGTTTTAATCAAAGTGCTTCACAGTATAAAGCTCATCTTTGCAGCTAACAAAGATACACCTAATCATTAAGCTTAACTGAAATTGAATCCTAGGTCCTCGAACTGACAGATAGGACAAAACTAATCCAACTAATAATGAAAATATTTTAAAATATTGACTAAATATTATGATTAGGGTAGCCTCTAAAGGTATCCATCTTCATCCCAAGTTGGTTGGATACGTAGGATATGATGCTATTACAATGTATCTCTAATAATTAGTTGAAAAAGACCATACATGCTGAAAAACATTTTTCAGAAGAGTGTAAAACGCATAGGTGGCAACCTAAAGTTCATTTCAATTTTCCATCAGCAATAAAAATCTTTTTTTATATATGAAATTTTTAAATTTTAAAGTTTGGTATAAATGTTAGTAAAAGTTTGAAGTTTCGCCTTGGCGTCTGGACACACTTAATCCACTTTAGAAAATTGAATTCAATATATAAAATAAGTTTAGGAGATATATTACATACCATTAAAATGATTGCACTTCAAACTTAAATGCACTAAGTTCTGATAGGTTTCCAATTTCATTTGGAATATTTCGTGTCAATCCAATCAAGTAGAACTTCAAACATCAAGCATTAAATTAACAAAAAATATATCTAATTAAAGAGAAGAAGTACCAACTAATTTGGTGTCGATGATTATATAAGAAGTTACTTTTGAGCGATTTACTTCTAATAATTATCATGAAAACACCATACATACTGGAAAAAGATTTGTCAAAAGAGTGTAAAATGCACAAATAATATTTATATATGACCGTTTTAAATTTAGAGTTTTGGTATAAACTTTGTTAAGACACTATATAACAAATTGAAATAAATTAATCTATAAAATAAATTTAGGAGATCTAGTTACGTACCTATAAAAGAATTGTGACTAAGTTCCAATATAGTAAGCATTGGAAAATTTGAAATAAATGCTGGAATTTCTCCACTCAATTGGTTGCAACATAGATAGAGATCTTCTAGATTAGGGAGCCCATTGGTTATCGATGATGGAAGACTTCCAGAAATACCGTTGTTATTAAAATCAAGTATTTGTAACATGGAGAGATTGAAGATGGAATCTGGTATTTGACCCTGAAGATTGTTGTCAGAAATACTCAATTCCTTCAAATTTGATAAACGTCCCATTGATTGAGGAATTTTTCCTGTATTGTGAGTACTCTAGAATTTGTTAATGAACTCAAATTAATGAATGCAGGAAGTACTAATAAGTAGATAGATACCTGTTAAGATATTTGAATCCAAATATAAATATTGAAGTTCTGGTGCGTTTCCAATTTCATATGGAATGCTTCCTGTGAATACATTTTAGGATATTAAAAATTGAAGTCCAGAAGCCAAATATTTAAAATTTCAAAAAAGTTATTATCAAATAATAATACTGGAATTAGATAATTAAATTAAAAATATAAAGGTTGTAAATTCCAATATTGTTGTCTCTAAATTTTATTACTAAAATAAGAATGATTATAGAATGACAAATGAATGATGTATCGCATAATTTAGAATATTAAACTATTAAATAAACAAGCTAATGTAGTGCAAAAGGAATGGCGAATGAACCTAAAACACGTCTATTTATACAATGCTTGTGAATTTAAAAAATCAACAATTGTTGGTTTAGATGGAAAAATCATTGCGTACATCTAATACCAATTTAGGTGGAAATTTTAGAAGAAAAACTCTTACTACTTTTAAATTTTCTAATCAAAGTATTCCAGTGTACAAAGCTGCAGCTAACAAAAAAACACCTAATCATTAATCATAACCGAAATTGCATCCAATGTCCTCAATCCAACAAATTAAAAATGAACTAAATCCAATTAATAATGAATTATAAAATACTGACTAATTATTATAATGAGGCTATACCCGCCAGCGATATCCATCTTCATCCCATGCTGATTGGGTACTTACGATTTGATGTTATTACGATGTATTTAATTATTTGGAAATGCTATACAAGTAAGAATTGAAACATATTTAATATATAAAATAAGTTCATGAGATCTCGTTACGTACCATTGAAACCGTTGTACCCTAAATTCAAAAATACAAGTGCTGATAGGTTTCCAATTTCAGTTGGAATACTTCCTGTCAACCATTTAAGCATGTAGGTTTCAATATATCAAATTTAAATTCATATGAAATAGATCTAATGAAAGAAAAGATGTACCAACTAATTTGAAGTCGATAATTAAATACTTAATTCATTATCAAATATGTTAATAGTTTTAAGTTCATGGCAATGCAATAGATTTAGAAGTATCTCTCCACGAAACATCTTAGATTGGTTGCATCTTTAGCAAACTTTCATAAAAATTAGTTATCCCAACGGATATTGATAGTATATAAGATATTTTGAAGATGGTTGAAAGTGAGTCTCCAAAAAATTCCTCATAATTACATAAAACAGACACATAGTAATTCCTCTTAATAATTACTAAGTTGAAACTTACCCCCAAATGAAAGAGTGAACAAAACCAGTAATTGAATTGGATGGATCCAAACATGCCCATTGAATACATTTAGGAGTCAAATATTTTAAATTTCAAAAAGCTATTATCAAATAATAATACTGAAATTATAAATAGATAAATTTAATTGAAAAAAATGAAATTCAAGTGGTTCTAATATATATTATTAAAACAAGAAAGATTTTATAATGACAAATGTATAAATTATTTTAGTAAACAAGGTGATGCTGAGCAAAAGGAAAAATATATTAGAATAAAGAATAAATTTAAAACCACACTAATTCTTAAAATGCGTGCGAATTTTAGAAAATCAATAATTTATTGATTCACAATAGAATATGGAATAATTAATCTTAGTTGACAAATCGTTGATTCCACACAAAGCATTTGCAGTCAAAAATTGTAAAAGAAAAACTCTCACAACTTTTATAATGTTTTAATCAAAATACTCCACAATATAAAGCTCATCTTCGCAACTAACAAAGATACACCTAATCATTAAGCTTAACTGAAATTGCATCCTAGGTCCTCAAACTAACAAATTTAAAAATTAATCTTACTAATAATGAAAAGATTTTAAAATATTGACTAAATATTATGATTAGGGTAGCCTCTAGAGGTATCCATCTTCATCCCAAGTGGATTGGGTAAGTAGGATATGATGCTATTACAATGTATTTTTAATAATTAGTTGAAAACCACCATATATGCTGAAAAACATTTTCCAGAAGAGTGAAAAATGCATCGGTGGCAACCAAAAGTTCATTTCAATTTTTCATCAGCAACAAAAATCTATTTTATATTTGACAATTTTAAATTTTGGTATAAATCTTAGCGAGGACACTAAATAAAAAAATTAAAATAGATTTAGACAGTATTTTAAAATGCACATTTAAGCACGAAGATGGACCTTGCTGCCTAACCACACTTTATATTTTTTATGCCTAGTCCATTTAGGCTAGTAAAAGTTCGAAGTTTTGAATTCAATATATAAAATAAGTTTAGGAGATCTAATTATGTATCATTGAAACAGATGAACCTCAAATCTTAATACATCCAATTTCATTTGGAATATTTCCTGTCAATCCAAACAAGTAGAACTTAAAATATCAAATGTTAAATTAACACAACATACATCTAATTAAAGAGAAGAAGTACCAACTAATTTGGTGTCGATGATTATATATTGAAGAAGTTATTTTTGCGCGACTTACATCTAATAATTATTATGAAAATGCTATACATGCTGAAAAGCATTTGTCAAAAAAGTGTAAAATGCCTAGGTGGTAACCCAAAGTTTATTAGATTTCCCATCAGCATAAATAATTTTTATATGTAACCATTTTAAATTTAGAGTTTTGGTACAAAATAAGTTTAGGAGATCTAGTTACGTACCATTAAATGAGTTGTCACTAAGGTCCAACGAAGTGAGCTCAGGGAAATTTGAAATAGATGCAGGAATTTCTCCACTAAGTTGGTTGCAACAAAGATAGAGACCTTTTAGATTAGGGAGCCCATTGGTTATTGATGATGGAAGACTTCCAGAGATACCGTTGTTATTAAAGTCGAGTATTTGTAACATGGAGAGATTGAAGATGGAATCTGGTATTTGACCCTGAAGATTGTTATTAGATATCCTCAATTTCTTCAAATTTGATAAACTGCCGACTGAATGTGGAATTTTACCTGTATTGCGGAGTACTCTGGAGTTTGTCAATGCACTCAAATTAATGAAAGCAGGAAGTACTAATAATTAAGTACATAGATACCTCTTTAGATATTTGAATCCAAAAATAAATATTGAAGTTTTGATGTGTTTTCAATTTCATATGGAATGTTTCCGCGAGTACATTTTAAGATATTAAAAATTGAAGTCCAGAAGCCAACTATTTAAAATTTCAAAAAGTTATTATCAAATAATAATACTGGAATTAGATAATTAAATTTAAATATAAAGCTTTCAAATTCCAATACTGTTGGCCCTAAATTTTATTGTTAAAATAAGAATGATTATAGAATGACAAATGAATGATGTATCACACAATTTAGAATATTAAACTATAAAATAAACTAGCTAATGCAGAGCAAAAGGAGCAGAGAATGAAACTAAAAACACGTCCATTTATACAATGCTTGTGAATTTAAAATATCAACAATTCGTTGATTTGTGATCAAATAGTTGGTTTAGATGGAAAAATCATTACGTATATCTAATACCAATTTAGGTGGAAATTTTAGATGAAAAACTCTTACTACTTTTTAATTTTCTAATAAAAGTATTCCAGTTTACAAAGCTCATCTTTGCAGCTAACAAAAAAACACCTAATCATTAATCGTAACAGAAATTGCATCCAATGTCCTCAATGTAGCAAATTAAAAGTAAACTAAATCCAATTAATAATGAATTATAAAGTGCTGACTAATTATTATAATGAGGCTATAGCCGCTAGCGGTATCCATCTTCATCCCATGCTGATTGGGTACTTACGATGTATTTAATTATTTGGAAAATGCTATATATGTAAGAATTGAAACGGATTTAATATATAAAATGAGTTCAGGAGATCTTTTTACGTACCACTGAAACCGTTGTACCCTAAATTCAAAAATACAAGTGCCGATAGGTTTCCAATTTCAGTTGGAATACTCCCTGTCAACCATTTAAGCATGTAGTTTTCAATATATCAATTTTAAATTCATATGAAATAGATCTAATGAAAGAAAAAAAAAGTACGAACTAATTTGAAGTCGATAATTAAGTACTCGTAAAGTCAATGTTATAAAACCTAATTCTTGAAGTGCTGATAAGATTCCAATTTCATTTGGAAGTCAATAATTAAGTACTTCTTAATTCATTATCAAATATGCTAATAGTTTGAAGTTCATTGCATTGCAATAGATTTGGAAGTATCTCTCCACGAAACATCTTAGTTTGGCTGCATGGATCTTTAGCAAACTTTCATAATAATTAGTTATCCCTAGGGATATTGATAGTAGAGAAGAGATTCTGAAGATGGTTGAAAGCGAGTCTCCAAAAAATTCCTAAAAATCACATAAAACAGACACATGGTAATTAATCCCTCTTAATAATTACTAAGTTCAAATTTACCCCCAAATGAAAGAGTGAACAAAACCAGCAATTGAATTGGATGGATCCAAACATGCCCTTTGAATACATTTTAGGAGTCAAATATTTTAAATTTCAAAAAGTTATTATCAAATAATAATACTGAAATTGTAAAGAGTTAAATATAATTGAAAAAAAGTAAATTCAAGTATTGGTGGTTCTAATATATATTATTAAAATAAGAATGATTTTATAATGAAAAATGTATAAATTAATTTAGAATACTAAATTATTTAGTAAACAAGTTGACTAATATTGAAAAGATTCTAAAATATTGACTTAATATTTTGATTAGGGTAGCCTCTAATGGTATCCATCTTCATCCCTGTTGGATTTTAAGAGCTAAACAATAGAGAAATCAACACAAGTATTTAACGTGGTTTGACGATGTGCCTATGTCCTCTCACTCCGCTCCTCTCCGACATCGGCTATTTTGATACAGTAAACTTGTTTTCCACTCTATATAAGCCACATATATAACAATCCCGAACTGATTGGGTACGTAGGATATGATGTCATTACAATGTATTTCTAATAATTAGTTGAAAAACACCATACATGCTGAAAAACATTTTTCAGAAGTGTGTAAAATGCATAGGTAAAGTTCATTACAGTTTTCCATCAGCAATAAAAATCTTTTTTATATATGACAATTTTAAATTTTAAATTTTGGCATAAATCTTAGTAAAAGTTTGAAGTTTAGCCTTGGCATCTAGACACACTTAATCCATTTTAGAACATTGAGATTTTGTGGGGTAAGTACATACTTAATTTTTTGTGTAGCTATGTAAAAGGACGTATTCAATAGGCAACAATATACAGGTCACTATGAATGTAAGAAATATCTATGATGTCAATGATTAACAATATTGTTCAATTTCACAATGTTTTTTTGGAAAACATTATGTTTTGGGAGATTTATGTATATGAAAACAACTTTAAACATACCTATCAAATTATTTCCTGCTACAGAGAGTTTTTGAAGCTTTGACAAGTTTCCGATTTCCAATGGAATGCTTCCAGAAAAATTATTGTACATCAGAGAAAGTAGTTGAAGCTTCCTGCATGTTCCCAAGCTTGGAGGAATGTTACCACTTATTTGATTATAAGAAATACTTAGCCTCTCCATATTTGGAAGATTATTGCAGATATCTGTAGGAAGACTTCCTGAGAGACTATTGTTTCTTAAACTAATTACCATCAAAACAGAGAGGTTGAAAATCCTAGTAGGAACTTCCCCATAGAGTCTGTTATTGGACAGATTTAGCTTCTGTAGATTTTCAAGAAATCCAAGACTTATTGGAATAGGACCGTTTAGCTCATTGTCCTGCATCTCTATTTCTCGAAGCTGGCTTAAATTACCAATTTCGTCAGGGATAAATCCATGAAAATTATTGTTGCTAATAATCAAGGATCTCAAAAAAGAGAGTCCACCAATTTCTTTGGCAATAGTACCTCCTACACCCATATCTGCTAGATTCAAGTCCCTAACTCTTTGATGTCTACTGCCACAAGTAATGCCAACCCAATTACAGAACGACGTTCCTTGTGACCAATTTTTAGCCAAGATATTATTTGGATCATAAGTTATTTGAGATTTGAAGGATAGAAGAGCATACTCATCTGTGGAGCTTTTTAGAGATGCAACAATGTCAATTTGCAAGCAAAGCATTGCCAGCAACATAAACATCACATTATGTCCCATGGATAATTTGAAATGTATAAAGAAAAGTGGAAGGGGGCTTGTAATGAGGAGTTTGATATAAGTGTGTGTATATATATGCAAAGAAATAAAAGCTTCCTGCAAGATAAGTGAACAAGGTAATTTATGTTAAGAGTTGCATGGGCTTCTATCTCAAGTGGGTGGTGCTCATCACCCCATTATCCTGAGGTGAAAAGGTTTTTTATTTAAAATAATAAAAATAATAAAAAAACTTTGCTTGACTTCCAAGCTGGAGAAATTATTCCATTGGAGGCAGAGATTTTTCTTTATCTTTTATTGTGGAAACTGTGCAAGTTTGCCACAAATGAAAGTCACATTATTCTAATAATCCAAAAGAAATAATTAACTTTTAAAGATTTCATTGTCCACCAATACCTCATAATTTCTAGTAGAGCGTGGAGATTTTCTTAAGAAAATAAAAGTAGCTTGAAGTGTGCAAAATTTTAAACTTAAATCCTATACAGTTAGATCTTATGCAATATAGCTTGAATTTCCATCTATAGAAGGAAGGTTTTCTTTTTCTTTTTTTCGACAGCCAGAAGAAAGGTTTTAGTGGTTACTAAAAACAATTAATTTAAATTCTTCTTGAGTAGAATGATGGGCTCTTAGGAATAGACGTGTGCATGAATTGAGCTTCTAGGATTGTTTTGACTGAAGTTGTCTTGGTTCATGAACGATGAAACAAAGCATATGTGATCTAGTGCCACATGTTTTAACTTTAGTTATGAGTCTAGTATTAGACTCTTGTTAGTTTGCTCTACTTTGTATGTTATTTAGTACAGTTTCATTAGAACTTTTTGCTTTTTTTCCTCTTAGTATAAATAGTATCCTTGTGGATGGTGGCTCAATTCGAAAAATGCATCAATTTTGTCTCCTTGATCACCCAATTGTCTAACGAAAGACTTTCAATTTGGTTACATTACTATTAAAAAAAAAAAAACTTGAAAGAGAAAACATTAAAACGACAAAAATGCAATAAAGCACATGTTGGCTTAGTAAATGTTTATCAAATCACTTAGGGTTCGTTTGATTGCAAAAGTGAAATTTGGGTGGAAAGAAAATGAATTATAGGGAATTGAATTGCCTAAAATTATTTTCCTGGAAATTGTCAATTAATTGTGTTTGATTGGTATAATTTTTCACCTAGAAAAAGTTGAAATTTTCAATCTTTTGGTATTCGTTTGACTTTGTTTTCCATGAAAATTGTCTATTAAAGGGAATATATTTTTTTTTTTTTTACAATTGTCCATAAAATATGTTTTCATTGCCAAAACATTAAAAAAAAAAAATAAAAATTGGAAACCATTTTCCCACCAAAGTGGTGGGAAAACCAATTCAACAAAAGCATGGAAAAAGGGGCCATGTGGGGGGTGGGAGGAAAATATTTTCCATGAAAAATTTTGACTATCGAACATGGTAAAATTGGGAAATGTGGAAAAAAAAAAGGGCCTATCAAACAGGCCCTTAGTAAAATTATCAACCACAAACACTGATTATTGGGTTCATTTATTATATTTCTTGTAAAAAATTTCAAAATCATTTAAAATAAAAAAAAACGGAAATGTAATAACCTTCTATAAATGGTTAGTGAATATTGTCTGACTTAGTAAATTTCAGAGGTAAATGGAGGAGTTTAAAGAAAAACCTCGCCGAATATGAAGCCATGGGCTTCTTATTTCTTTGCTTGGATATTCTGTCATTTATGACTTTACTTATAAAGTCGATTGCATTTTAGTCACTGAACTTAGTTGAAAATCTCAATTAGGTCACTCTTCTTTGATTTGTCTCCATCAAATCATTGAACTTCAATTTACTTTCAGGGTTAATTAATATGTTATCTCCCGTTACTAAAATTAACATCTGATTCATACTTGGACATTAGAACGTAATGGATTGTTAATTTTAAAACATCGGGTTATCTCAAGGGAGTGGTGCTCATCACACCATTATGGACTCCAATTTTCCATAAATAAAACAAACTTTGCTCGATTACAAGACTAGAAAAATTACACCATCATGGACTTTGCTTGACTACAAAACTAGAAAAATTACACCATTACGGACTCCAATTTTCCATAAATAAAACAAACATTGCTTGACTACAAGACTAGAAAAATCACACCATTATGGACTCCAATTTTTCAATAAATAAAACAAACTTTGCTTTACTAGAAAAGTAGAAAAATTACACCATTATGGACTCCAATTTTTCCATAAATAAAACAAACATTGCTTGACTACAAAACTAGAAAAATTACACCATCACGGACTTTGCTCGACTACAAAACTAGAAAAATTACACCATTATGGACTCCAATTTTCCATAAATAAAACAAACTTTGCTTGACTACAAAACTAGAAAAAAATACTCCACTGGGTGCAGAGATTTTTCTTTATCTTTGTTGTGGAAATTTTGGAAGTTTTTCCACAAAAGAAAGTTGCATTCTTCTAATAATCCCAAAAGAAATAATCATCTTCTAGAGACTTCATTGTCCATCAATATACCCATATTTTCTAGTAGAATGTGAAGACTTTCTTAAGCAAATAAACGTGGCTTGAAGTTTGCAAAACTTTAAATGTAAATTGTGAACGGTTTAATCTCATGCAATACAACTTTAATTTCCAATTACAAAAGAAAGATTATTTTTTTGTAACAGTCACAATAAAGGTTTTTATGGTTACTAAGAACACTTAATTTAAATTATGTAGATTAGTGTATACAAGTTCAATAGAAGTGTTTATTATTTCTTATAGACATCTCTACAACTCTTGTTCTATATATGATTACAACGAGGACACTTACGAGGAGAGACCGGTGCAAACAATGTCCCGAAAGTAGCCTCTGTCCTCTTGAGTAAAATGATGATTACAACGAGGATACTTACGAGGAGAGACCGGTGCAAACAATGTCCCGAAAGTAGCCTCTGTCCTCTTGAGTAAAATGATGATCTCTTAGGAATAGAAGTTGGCATAAATGGAGATTCTAGGACTGTGTTGACCGATGCTCTCTTTGACCATGTACGAGCCGATATTTTATTTTTAGTTATCAATCTAGTATTATGTACTAATTTTCTCTAATTTGTATATCATTTAGTACGGTCTCATTCGTATTTTTTGTTTCTCTCAATTCAAAAATACATCAATGTTTGTCTCATTGATCACCCAATTGTCTAATAAAGATTGAAACAAAAAGGAACTTTTGTTGTTCCAATTTCGTTCCTGTTCTATAACAATATTAAGAAAAAATTTTAAATCAGCAAATCATTTAAAAAAAACGAAAATGTAATAAGCTTCCATAAGTGGTTAGTGAGTACTGTCTGACCCAACGAATTGGAAGGATATTTTTTATTTTTTTTTGGGATTGGAGGGGGGTTAGGGACAATATTTGCAAAGTTGTGTTGCCTTTGTGAAGTCGGTTCCGGGTTTTCTTTCACCCTTCTTTGCTGAACGTTTGGCAATTTGGGAAGGCAAGTTCACGTTTTAACTTCAAAAAAAAGTTGTAAATGACCAAAATCTTACTTGTACTGCTAGAATCTTGAATAGGCTTAACCCAATATACTTAATGCCATACCATGTGATATATTTAAAAATAAAAGTAAGGTGAATTGGATATATTGATTCTAGCTAACATTAACATATTGGAATCGGTTTCTTGATTTTAATAACCAAAATAGATTCATATTTAAGCAGAACCAGCCCAGCCTTATCATTTAGCTTCAATATTACTCAATTTCTCTTCGAAGCAGTGGTCGATTTACCATGGAGTCCACTGCCCCCACAATAAAATTAAAATATGTTATTTTGTCCAAGGTTTTTTTAAAGATTTTCAAAAAAGTACTCATAACTTTTATATTTAGACCCCACAATTAAAATTTCATGAAATTTGCCCCCACGATTATTTTCTTCTAGCTCCACCCCCGCTCAGGGAATTTAGTGAAACAGGTTTGGGTTTATGCTCAAACCCGACTGATTTGGTCGGTTTTCAATTGGTTCAACTGATCTTTAACTAGTTCATTTATCTAACGTTTCCTTTATATAAATCGGTTCACGCTATTTTTCGAGTAGCCACTTTTCAAACAGTCCAGTTTTAAAAATTATAAGCTTTCTAGACATGTTAAAAATTATTATTTGAAAGAAATCTATTTTACCCATATTAAGATAATTCCTAGTCAATGTGGTGGTTAACTCAATCCCTACTCATTGAGTTCTCCAACACGCCTTCTCTCCCAACTCTTTCAAACTTGTTCAACATGACCTTCTGGAAATGTTAATGCAAAGTTGGTCAGCATATTATGCTTTCTTCTCTCTCCCTTCTTATTCTTTGTCTTCTCTATTGATGTCAAAAAATTGTCGAGCAACACCACATCAACTCTTTGATTAATGTTGAGAATCTACATAATGGGCTTGATTGTCCGAAAGCCTAAAATTTCAGTTAATTTTGGACACAAAGATGGTTGGGCTGTTGACCAGGGACTCAAAAGCCAATAAAGAAATGGATATTGTCACTGGACTGGACTATAAGTGTATTGTACCCAAAACTAGATACACAAGAAAATTTATCAGAACGATATACCAATACAAATCCTATCGGGGTAAAGCCTATTAATAGGAAATCAAAGGGATAAAGCTTTCGGATACATAGATGACATTATTTTTTTACACTAGCACAGAGCACTTTTAAATTTGCTACATAACCCAAGGGAAGAGCTAATCAGAAGGAAAGTTGACAAAACCTAAAGGCAAGAAGCGAAGGAATGTGATCGAAGCATATAGGGGCAGCGATCCCGTATTGGTAAAAGCTCCAAAAACAAGAGATTAACTTGCCATGCATGTCTGATTCAACTAAGCAAATGCATATCTGATTCAACAAGGTAAAGATCCACTCTGAAACATCAAAAAAAGGAATAGCATTTGATCAATATGATACCTAGGCACATTTTTCCAGACCT